ATTTTCCCCAGCGCTTAGTGAATGTGGTGAAGCTTCATTTTGTAATGAATACCCAATCAGGTATAAGTAAAAAAAAAAAAAAAATTTGCACGTGATTGGATGATGGAAATCAGCATAGCTTTACCACTTTTACTAAGCTCGAGAGAAAATGAGTAACTGCACTACCCATTAAACCCTCATAACCAGAGGTCAGTGATTTGTAATTAAATTTGACAATAACTCTGAGACTAATTTGTCTGCCTTGTTTTGGTTCATTTTTTCAACAGCTTCCCATCCATGAAAAGTCACATTCACACACACCCATATATATATACACACACACACACACACACACACACACACATATACATATACACATACATACACACACACACACACACACACACACACACACGTGACTTTGCAATTCCAGGTGGGAGTCGCGCGCACCTACCCGCGCCACAATTCGCGTCCGCGGCTGTCAACCACTGGGTCCCTGGCCGGTGATTGTTCACCGGCGCCCGGTGATTGCCAAGGATCTCCGAAGGGGAGAACTGTTTGTAAACAAACAGTTCTCCTCCCTATCAGCTCGTGCACAATGCTTTGCATGGCTGTGCACAGCACAGCCATACAAAGCAATGTGCTTACAGTGAAACACAAACACACGGCCCCATAGTAAAACACACCCAACACACAGTTAACCCTTTGATCGCCCCTCATGTTAACCCCTTCCTGCCCAGCGCCATTAGTACACTGTCAGTGTTCTTTTTTTAGCATTGATCACTGTAATAGTGTCTCTGGGGATGTCAGTGACACCAAGTCAGTTCCCCCCCGTGTCAGAATGCCTGCCACAGTCCCGCTATAAGTTGCTGATCACTGCCATTACTAGTAAAAAAATAAAATAAAAAAAAAAATTTCAGTATATATACCGCCATTTATAAACACTATAACTTTCACGTAAACCAATTAATTTACATGTATTGAGATTTTTTTTTTAGCAAAGACATGTAGCAGAATACATTTTGGCCTAAATTTATGACAAAATTTAATTCTTTAAATTTTGCTACTGGACATGTTTAATAGTAAAAAGTAAAAAATATTGTTTTTTCTCAAAAGAAAAAATACACAGGTGATCAAATACCACAGAAAGAAAGCTCAATTCGTGGGGGGAAAAAAAAGACATAAATTTCATTTGGGTGCAGCGTTGCATGACCGCGCAATTGTCAGTTAAAGTAATAAAGCGCCGTATCGCAAAAAATGGCCTGGTCAGGAAGGGGGGTATATCCTCCAGAGGGCAAGTGGTTAAAGTTCATGCCTAGACAAAAAAAAACAAAACAAAAAAACAGTTCTTTTAGTTTTTTATTAAAAAAAAAAATTATCTAGTTTAATATTATAGGCTGGTGCATGGTAAAAGAAAAAAAATGTACTGCAGCACACACCAAAAGTAATACAGTGACAGTAAGGTTTGTTTACTATCAAACCTCACGATTGCCATATCATGGCAATCATGGTGATCACATAACTGGGAACCACACCAATTGAGAATGTTGTAGCAAAAGCGCGCATCAGAGATGGACATGGTTCAACCATTTTGGTTTCAACCTCCATCTTGGCGAAGGGACTAACCATCCTAAAAAATATATTTTCCTGCATCCTCCCCCCTTTCCTCTCTGTTCAGCCAAAGCAACATCTGGTTGTGGGTCACTGGCAGGCTAGAGCAGCAGGGGGCCCAGAGCTACAAAGCCCACCAAGAGAGACAGAGCCTCTCTGCCCAAGAACCTGTGTAATTTCTCACCTCATAACAGAGATAAGGCAGCTTTCCCAGGAATTGAAAGAAATTGTAACCTCATAAAACCTAGCTCAGGTAGGTGGCAGGATCAGATAACTTCTGGTAAAATCAGTTTTCCCCTATGTTTCATATCTTGAAATATGGAAGACTTACATAAAAAAACTGGGCACCTCCTCGGATGGCCAATGCGCAGACGAACATTTTGATGGGTCACCCGTCCACCTCAGATCATCAGGGGAGCCAAAAGATAGAACTCGTACACCGTGTAACGTACAATTTCATAATTCATATCTACATGATCCTTAGACTTATCTGCATAATAAAATACCTGCTGAGAGATTGTCGCTTGTGCAGCTGGGAAGTTATAGGCCAGAATATGAATTAGGAGAGATGCTGGTTCTAATTTTGGGTTCCGCCTGCCAACCCCTCCCTAAACAAAGTATTGGTCAGTTACTCAGAGCCACCCCCCTGCTAGGGGACTTTAAAAAACAGGCTAGCAGGCCTAAAGAAGTAGTTAAAGACATCTCCCATTTTAACATCAATACCACCTGGGGAGACCCTTACGCTCTGCAACTTGGATCTGCTTACAAACCAAGGCGTACTGGCAAGTAACTTAACCCTTTAACTTCCTTCCTATTATCGCTTTGCTGTGCTGTGGTTCTTTATATATGTATATACAGTGGGGATCGAAAGTTTGGGCACCCCAGCTAAAAATTTGTATGAATGTGCATAAAGAAGCCAAGGAAAGATGAAAAAATCTCCAAAAGGCATCAAATTACAGATTAGACATTCTTATAATATGTCAACAAAAGTTAGATTTTATTTCCATCATTTACACTTTCAAAATAACAGAAAACAAAAAAATGGCGTCTGCAAAAGTTTGGGCACCCTGCAGAGTTAATATCTTGTACTGCCCCCTTTGGCAAGTATCACAGCTTGTAAACGCTTTTTGTAGCCAGCCAAGAGTCTTTCAGTTCTTGTTTGAGGTATCTTTGCCCATTCTTCCTTACAAAAGTCTTCCAGTTCTTTGAGATTTCTGGGCTGTCTGTCACGCACTGCTCTTTTAAGGTCTATCCATAGATTTTCAATTATGTTGAGGTCAGGAGTTTGTGAAGGCCATGGCAAAACCTTCAGTTTACGCCTCTTGATGTAATCCCCCATGGATTTCGAGGTGTGTTTAGGATCATTATCCATTTGTAGAAGCCATCCTCTCTTTAACTTCAGCTTTTTCACAGATGTCATCAAGTTACCATCCACAATTTGCTGAAATTTTATTGAATCCATTTTTCCTTCTACTCGTGAGATGTTCCTTGTGCCACTGGCTGCAACACAACCCCAAAGCATGATTGATCCAACCCCATGCTTAACAGTTGGACAGAGGTTCTTTTCATTAAATTCTGTGCCCCTTCTTCTCCAAACGTACCTTTGCTCATTCCGGCCAAAAAGTTCAATTTTAACCTCATCGGTCCACAGAACTTGTTTCCAAAATGCATCAGGCTTGTCTATATGTTTATTTACAAAGTTCAAACGATGATTTTTGTGGTGAGGACGTAGAAGAGGTTTTCTTCTGATGACTCTTCCATGAAGACCATATTTGTACAAGTATCTCTTCATAGTGGAATAGTGTACCACAACTCCAGTGTCTGCCAGATCTTTCTGGAGGGATCGTGCAGTCAAACGTGGGTTTTCAATTGTTTTTCTCACAATCCTGCGAGCTGTTCTGTCTGATATTTTTCTTGGTCTTCCAGATCTTGCTTTAACTTCCACTGTTCCTGATGACTGCCATTTCTTAATTACATTCCGAACAGAGGATATTGACATCTGAAAACGCTTTGCTATCTTCTTATAGCCTTCTCCAGCTTTGTGAGCGTCAACTATTTTTAGTTTCAGTTTTCTAGACAACTGCTTAGAAGAACCCATGGTGCTGATTGTTGGGGCAAGGTCAGATGAGTCTGGGCATTTAAAATCTTTGAGCTTGACATCACCTGGTCTTCCCAGACGATGATTGAGAACAATCCATGACACTGGCAGGTCTCAGCTTTGCAAAGGGGGCAGTGCATGCTATAAATTCTGCAGGGTGCCCAAACTTTTGCAGACGCTATTTTTATGTTTTCTGTTATTTTGAAAGTGTAAATGATGGAAATAAAATCTAACTTTTGTTGACATTTTATAAGAATGTCTAATCTGTAATTTGATGCCTTTTGGAGATTTTTCCATCTTTCCTTGGCTTCCTTATGCACATTAATACAAATGTTTAGCTGGGGTGCACAAACTTTCGATGCCCACTGTATATATATATATATATATATATATATATATATATATATATATATATATCTTAGTTACATCTTCTTTGTAAATATTTTTATTGCACCTGTTTGACCCTTTTAGTAATCTTTCTTCTGAAAGTGTTGAACTGTTCCTATAGCTCTTAATCGCAATTCACGAATTCCTGCCTTTGAAGAGAAGCTACTGTTTGTTTTAATCTCTGTATAACCGGCCTGTGGACTGTTTTATACAGGCAATTATTTCAATCATTATAGTGTAGTAACTGATAACGCGAGTTTCCTCTTTCTCTGTACAAAAAGGAGGTGGTGGCAGTGTGAAAGGGTTAGTTGCGTAATTAACCCGACCCAGTAACAATCGCTCAGGCTGACGGCACATCGATCTGTTGTCCATTAGCTGGAAAATTGTTGTGCAGGGTGCAGCTGGGTGTGGCATTGTTACGCACGTCACATCGCGGTTTTAGATCGGCCAGTCCTTCGGTCACGAGTTTGGTGAGAAGGTCTGGGGTCTGACGCCGCGATCATGACATATTGTACGTCGCGGTCGTGCGATCGTCACATGTTGAGGGTGGCGATCGTGCGATCCGTGACAGATGTCTACATTTTTTTTTTTTATTTCTTGTGCAAAAGTCAAAACCTCCCATTTTGATATATTTAATGGTGAGTGTGCTACTGTCTCATTTAGGAAAAGGAAAAAGAACTGAAACAATTTTTAAATGAACTGACAACCAAAGGGGGGATAGCTGCTCTGATATACAACAAATAACATAATTTAAGACAGCAGTGCTTATGTGTCTTTGGATACAGTAGCCATCTAAAACTGAACCTAAATATTACTGCACAGCACTATATTTATATTTATATGGCCGGTTGTAATTTTTTTTGTTAAATAAGAAGTGTTATCTTAAAATGCAATCTGACATTACTACTGTACTTGAAACACTCACTCATAATGGAATCCAACATCATGATTTCCCACAACAACTATCAGTTCAGTTTGAGGAGGATGTCTGAACATAGACTGAAAGCGAGAAACATCATTATCCCATGCCTGCAAGAAAATTACAAATCAGTAGTCACAAAATGTCAAAAAACAAAAACACACCACAACACCACACACACGGACACCCGTTTCCTGCTGCTCCAGAATTTCCAGCCTAGGTCACAATGCTACCAAACATAACAGTCTAGTGTTATCGAACAGAAATACTTTATACTCTATTAGGAAGGTTTTCAGTGACATAAATGGAGCAGAAAGGCAGGAAAGGAAGCAATGCTTGAATATGTAATAAGTAAATATGGCTGTCTGCATGTACATATTGAATTACAAGCTATAGAGAGAAACAAATTTATAATACTGTATATTACATCTTTTTTCATGATAAAATTGTTCCAAGACCAGATCCTAAACTTTCACCCAAGCACTAGAAACAGATTCACCCATGCACAGATCAGTAAAGCTGGCAATACACTGATCAAAATTTGGACAGTCCAGCAGAGATCAGATAAACTTTTGATCACCGTGTGGGCTCTGTTACTTGACAGAAGTCAATTTTTTAAAATTGACTTTTGCTGAAGTGACACGTTGCAGCCACTGATCAATGTATTCTCACAGAAGTGAGTGCTGCTGTCAAAATACAATATGCCAGTCCCAGCAGGAGGGAAGCTTCAATCCACTTCATTTGTGTGCATCCTCCACCCCCGGCTGAAGATAAAGAAAAATGAATTTTGACTTGCCTACAAAATGTCATATCTTGGGAGTATAGTACAGGACACAGGCTTGATATTCATAGACCCTGGGAGGTCCCATGGGATAGGCAAAATACAACCAACCACAACAACAACAACCAACCAACAACTGTCAATAGGTCCAATTCAGGGTGCTACTGCAAGAACCTTGCAGCCAAAAGCTGTATCTGTAGAAGGCTTGATGTCCACCTGGTGGAACCTGGAAAAAGGTATGAACAGAAGACCAGGTGGCGGCCTTAACTTCTTGCCGACCGGCCACTGTAGAAATACGGTAGGAGGGCACGACTGGGCAAAACCACGTTTTAAAACGTGCATTTGCAAAACAGGAAGGGGGCACGCGCAAGGCGTGTGCCCGCCCTACCCGTCCCGCCGGGGTCAGTCACCGGGTCACGGCCAGTCAATACCTACCGTGTCCCGGCGATTAGCAGCAATCACTGACAGAGAGGACGGCTGCAGTGTTTACACTGCAGCTGTGCTTTCTGTCAGTCCCCTGTCAGCTCCTGACATGCTGATCCGGAGAGAAGAGTTTATCTCTCCGGATCAGCGTGTTCCCGTGCACTACACATCCCCCACCCCCTTGTAAAACACTCTCCTCAAACAGTTAACTCTTTCAGTAAATAAAAGGTTAACCCCTTCCTCCCCAGTGCCATTATACAGTATCAGTGTTTTTTTTTTGCACTGATCACTGTATTGGTGTCACTGGGGATGTCAGTGACCCCAAGTCAGTTCCCCCCCAGTGTCAGAATGTCCGCCGCAGTCCCGCAGTCCTGCCATAAGTCGCTGATCGACGCCATTATTAGTATAAAAAAAAATTAAAAATCCCAGTATCTTTCCTGCCATTTGTAAACGCTATAACTTTCACGTAAACCAATTTACACGTATTGGGGTTTTTTTTTTAGCAAAGACATGTCGCAGAATACATTTTGGTAGAAAATTATGACTAAATTTGATTTTTACTGGACATGTTTTATAGCAAAAAGTCCAAAATATTGGTTTTTTTTCCTCAAAATTGTCAGCCTTTTTTTTTATAGCGCAAAAAATAAAAACGCATAGGCGATCAAATACCAACGAAAGAAAGCTCAATTTGTGGGAAAAAAAGGATGTATATTTCATTTATGTACCGTATTGCATGACCGCGCAATTGTCCGTTAAACTAGCGCAGTATAGCAAAAAAATTACGTAAATTGCAGTATCTATACCATAGTTTGTAGACGCTATAACTTTCACACAAAGCAATCAATATACACTTATTGGGATTTTTTTTTACCAAAAACATGTAGCAGAATACATTTTAGCCTAAATTTATAACCAACTTTGAGTTTACTATATATTTTTTATAGCTGAAAGTAAAAAATATTGTTTTTCCTCAAAATTGTCAGCCTTTTTTTTTTATAGCGCGAAAAGTAAAAAACACACAGGTGATCAAATACCACCGAAAGAAAGCTCTATTTGTGTGAAAAAAAGGACGTGAATTTCATTTGGGTGCAGCATTGCATGACCGCGCAATTATCAGTTGAATTAGTGCAGCGCCGAGTAGCAAAAAGAGGCCTTGTCATTAAGGGGGGTAAATCCTAAGGAGGGCAAGTGGTTAAACAGGTGGGCAACAGTGGCTTGATGTAGGAATGCCTAGGAAACCCCTATCGGGTACAGCATACGTGTATTAGTGCAGGAGGTGCTTTGCCTTCTTGAGATTAGTTGTCTTATCCACCTACTGATAGATATACTGTATTGCACTGATGAGGTGGGTAAATGGGAATATGCAAATAGGTATCTTGGAGGTCTATGGATGCCATATATTCCCACTGTCTTAGAGAGACAATATCTTACCTTGCTAATTCCATATGCAAATTTGGAATTTGAAGGCATTTGTTTAGAAATTTTAGGTCAAAGATCAGACAAATACCCTGCTGGGTTTCAATATTATGAACAAATCTGGATAAAATCCAAAGTCACTGGAACTACTCCCTAGGACAATAGATGGTTCAGGACGTTCTGAAAATATGACTTTCCTTAAACAGGTTTTGGTTGGTTTGAGAACAGAAAGTTGTGAGGTGAAGATTTTTTTTAATCATTTTGTACTTCTTTGAAACCACCAATTGAACCCACAGGTCTGGGAGATCCCTGACCCATAGAGGGGAAAACTGTAACAGACATACTCCCAGAGTGTTGAGGTAATCTGTCTTTTAAAGGAGGTAGAAGCCACTGAAGAAGGGGATTGATGAAGTTTCTGCTGTGGAAAAAGAACCTTTCCTCCTATGACATTTTTTGATGACATTGTCAAGAACCAAGGAGACATTCTCCATCAAACAGCATATGAGTGAGGTGTCTCTTACAGGCAGCTTCGGGTGACCAGGTTTTGAGCCACAAGATTCTGCATATGTAAACAGAAAGCAGAGCCATTTTGGAGATCTGTGTCATAACTTGTTCACAAAAAATCAAGGAGAAAGTAGATGCTGTTAAATGACCAGCCAAGAAAACAGTCATGGAATATAAGATTGCATTGAGGTTGTTCATTGCCCTAGTCCAATTAGCTGCAGTCTGACAGATATAAAAGCGTAGAAATAGCTGCTCGCAGAGCTGGGCCTGTGCATCTAAAAAGAGCCTTTAACAGTGTCTCAAACTTTCAGGCAGCAGGTTCTTTGAACAAAAGGAAAATCCTTCACAGGTACAGTAAGGTGTTTAAGTAAGGATCTACTACTGGAACAGACATCTTGTTTGTGAACTTCCCGCCCCCAGAGGCGCGTACTCGGCGATCTCCATGATCACTGTGTCCTATGGACACAGCTGATCACGTGATGTGGCAAACTGCCAATCACAGTGGCCTTTTACCATCTGATGAGCTGTGTCCAATGATACAGCAGATCATCGGGTAAACACAGTTGTTGGTTATCAGCTACACAGCATGAGGAGAGTACTGCCGATAACCAGCAATTGTCAGAGAACAGATTGGCACTGATGATCAGTGCCCAGCAGTGCCACCCACCTGTACCCAGTGCCCCCCACCTGTGCCCATCAGTGCCACTCACCTGTGCCCATCATTGCCACCAGTCAGTGCCCATCAGTGCCATCCATCAGTGCTGCGTATCAGTGCCACCTCATCAGTGTCACCTATCAGTGCTACCTATCAGTGCTGCCCGTCAGTGCAGCCTCATCTATGCACATCAGTGCAAAATGTTATAATATAAACAAAGAAAAACTCTTTTTTTTCAAACATTTTTGCTGTTTTTTTTGTTTATAGCACAAAAAATAAAACACCCAGCAGTGATTAAATACCACCAAAGGAAAGCTCTATTTGTGTGAAAAAAATTATAAAGATTTCATATGGGTAAAATGTTGCATGACTGTGCAATTGTCATTCAAAGTGTGACAGCACTGAAAGCTGAAAATTGGAATGGGCAGGAAGGGGGTATAAGTGCCCGATAGGCAAGTGGTTAAGGGATGGAAATCTCTTCTGAATTAACCCAACCTTCATGAATTGCCTGTTCTATTTTTTTATGAATAGGTAATGTTTTTGACTTTGCAGGTCTCTTAGTACCTGCATGACGAGACAGGGAAGAATCCCAGGGGCCTTTGCGCACAGCAGCGGTGAGCATATCAGCACTGGCAAGCATACACGTTAAAACGTGAGGTGTATAGGAACCTGGGGGTGAAAATTCTTCTACAGCCTCCTTTAACACCATTTCCGGATTCTCTTCATTCCCTCTATGTTTACCTATGCTACAGCAGGCAAATTGGGATCTGACAGTGGGGTTGGAGAAGGAGCCTGGCACTTTTCAGCCCTGGAAAATGATGGCTGTATTAAAGTCATTAGTAGTTCGAAAAAATTGTGACACAGTTGCAAAAAAAAAAAAAAAACTACCTTAGTCAGTTAGGCTGCGTGTTGCATGCCTGAGTTTTGCAGGCCTTCAGCATAGAAATATTTGACTCAACGTTTGCTGCTGTAAATTTGTGCTTTGTTTCCACCACTACTATCATTGAGTGTATGCCCATGGAGTGGAATGCCGAAATGGGATAAGCACATTGGAGAAGGACTATGCTGCGGTCTGGGTGGTGATAGTCCTGTAGCAAAGTCCTTTTGGCAAAATGTGGGAAGATGCACCTGAGTACTTTTAGAAAAAGCTTTGGGTGGAAGTGGAGGTAAAATATGTGACCTGTGGTGTAATGTAACCTGAGGCTTAGCTCTAATTGGCTGAATTTAGTGCTTGATTTGCACTGTATATGTGAATAAATTCAAACACATCCCCTGTTTCCTGATGGTTCCAACATCTACAGATGTACTAGCCAAGATACACAAATAGTGTA